TATTTTATGGATCTTGATGATGAGCACTTGCAGTTGCAGGTGCTGGGCCTGCTGCCTATCAGAATCAATGACCAGCGATCGAAGGAAATATCTGTGGGCGTTGGAGATAGGGAGGGGAATTCTTTTTAATTTCATTTAATTTTATTTTTTGTTATTGGTGCTAATCTTAATGGAACATTTTAAGTCTTGTTTAATGATGTTTAATTATGGTTTATTCTTAATGGAACATTTAATAATTAATTATGATTTAATTAAGTTTAGAACTTGTTATTTATGTAATGGAATCAGTATTAATTATTATATTACATGTAAACTTATCAAATGAGCATAATTAGTTGGCTTTATTAGAATTTGCATAGAAAAAGGTTAAACGTATTGTTATGTTAAGAACCTTTTTTGTAACTTCATTCAGAGCTGCTAAATATTAAAAAGCATTTATTTTGATAAAAAATAACATCAACTTCTATTTCAGAAGTTCATTGGATCACTTTTGAAGACAATATTTACCAAACAGATAAATTCAGGTTTTATTTGGAATGACTTTTTTATTGATTCTTAACATAATTTTTTATATACAAATATTAATTTTTAGATGAAAAAATTGATTTAAAAAGCCTCAATCTATATCAAACTCATGATACATAAGTTTTTAACTGAATTAAAGGAGAAATTAAATAGATATTTAATTGTAAAAATATATCAAAGTGATTAATGCTTGTTCTACTCTTCAACTTGTAAATTATGCCATTGAGCTACAAAGGCATGTCATTGAGCTATTTTATTTGACTAACCCATATTTTATTTTATTTTAGATAAATCTGATCTACAAATAAAATGAAAACCAAACTACTAAAGAAGGTCAACTAGCAAAAATGTTGTTGCCGACACATTCCTCAATGTTCTACATTTCAAAATCGCATATTCATCAAATTTTTCATAAAACATCAAATCTTTGGAATATGTAGACGTTCTTTCAATTAGGCTAAAATAAAAAATGTTACAAAATAATTAGTAAAACCCAGACTTTGCATTGCAGTGCTGCTGCTGCTGCTGCTGCTGCTCTACTAAGCCATAAAGGGTTGATAAATAGATTACCAGATTGTTTAGAATTCTTTGTTCAATCATCTACTGCAGATGGCTCTTCTTCCCGTAACTCCATTTTATATAAGCTGCAGTGTCTTTCAAATAATAGAAACTCCTAAAGAAAACAATCAGTAAATAATGCTTAGCAGAAAAAAAAATATAGCAAATGAGGAAAGAAAGATTAACGGTGCATAATAGTATTCAAAACAAACCTGCAGCTGTTGCTGGCTAAACAATCGTAACATTCCAGAAGCAACTAGTTCAATTAATTCATCATGATGATCATTTGATTTCCCTGACTCGGCAAGTGAAACCGATACCTGCAGACAATAAAATTATAATTTGTAATGCAATTGTTGAACTTATTAAGACCATCTCCAACCGAACTTCGTACCACCATATACCGCCCGCCATTTGCTCCATTCGATCTCAAAAATTTTACGCCAAATTCTAGAAGGTGAACAGTGCGGCGCCAATATTGGCGTCGAACTATGCACCTACGCCAAAAAAATTTGCTGCGGGATTTGCTGAAGAGTTGCACAAAAGAGGAGAAAGGCGCGCCAAAGATGGTTACCTTCGCAGAAAGAAGAAGAAATGGCGTATATAGGCATCGCATGTTCACCTACGCCAAAAAAATTTGTTGCGGGATTTGCTGAAGAATCGCGCGAAAGAGGAGAAAAGCGCGCCAAAGATGGTTACCTTCGCAACAAGCGCACGAAAAAAAGAAGAAATGACGCTCGAATGGAGAATAATGACTGCATTTTCAAATTTTACTGCATTTTGGAGTGGAAAATGGGGTTTTCGGTTGGAGATGCCCTAAGTCTCCTGTTATACAACTTTAATTTATTCAATTAAAATTTCTGTTTTAGATTCTGTTTTTTTACCTGCATGCAGCGTAGAATAATTTCTGGTAAGCAGCATTTTCGACAGAGGCCTTTGACCACATAAGTAGCTGGGATTTGGAATGAACCATCACTATCTGAATACCAAGCATCCATGCGGGAGATTTCTAATGAGACTCCGGCCTGGAAACGTGCCAATTCACCTGAAACAAAAATTTATTGTCAATGATACATCTTAAAAATACAGAGAGCATTCATAAAAATAATTTTGAATACCTTTGAATCCAGCGGCCATGACAGTAGCAAGAACACCACCATCATTTGATTCATGAAGCCCAAGCCCGTCACCTTCTATAGCTAAGCAACGAAGTGAGACTTCAAGACAATCGTTATTTGTGAGTGAGACTGAAACATTGACCTGTAAATTTATGATTCAACAAATGTAATGTACAACAAGAGATGGATTAAACTCACATCAAAATTTAGGATGATAAGATATTCAAGAGTTTTCTCATTTTGAATTTATCCAGTAGTCCTATTTTTATATATTAAG